AGAGAAGAGATACAGAGCTTGGTGACATCGGATCCAGACTCGACTTTTGGACTTCAGACATTACAACGAGGGATTATTTGGGACTTGTGACAAAGACTTGGTGTTGACGACATTCCCATCTCTCTCCCTCCTTTCGTCTGATTCCCTCCTCTTCGTCTGTGTATGTCTGGACCTGGCGCTTTCTTCCTGTGTACAGCGCCAGGCTCCTTCACACTTGGTGATGGATACGATGTATGTTGGTCTGCGTTCAAACATGGATTGGGCTAGTCATTAGAATGCTGGGCTAGTCATTAGCATTCTAGCATTCTGCTTCGCTATCTTTTGCTACGTGAATGAGGTCAGTCCCGGTCAGGTCAGGACTTGTATCTAAATCTTCCACTGTGCTATTCAGACACCATTTTGTATGTATGAGAATGCACATTGCTGTTGAGATTCTACTTGCACTGCATTGTCCATTCAGTCCTTTTTATCACATTACGGATCCTTGGTTATGATGTACATCGCTCATCTGAGCATGTAACAGAGGGTCTAGGGCTTAAGGGGAGTTTTTGCATTAAGTAGGTCACAAAGTTGGCAGCAGGCTCTCCTCTCTCCGCACTTAGGTTAGGCCAACTCTGTTATAGCCAGACTTACACGCAATGGGATGCGGGACCCGGTTTCCAGCCAAGTAGAAGCTGAGGAAGGAGAGAATTTTAGGGTAGAGACGGGGGATTGCTGGGCAGATGGTCAGGACAAGGGGCCTAGGAGCATAGTACAAGCATAGTAGACTTAGGACAAGCACCTCTTCCCAGTAGGGATTCTTGAGGAATTGTCAGAAGCAGTTAGATTCCCCTCCCCTTTGTTGGAAGGTTCTTTCCTTTATTGCTATTTATCTTTTGTTAATCCAGTTTTGTCCTTGTTCAGGAATAGCGCGTGGTGACAGTAGAAAGGGACAATGGACCCGGTTTCCCGTATGAGCCTAATCTGGGTAATGGCCCCAGTCTTCCGGGTTGAGATGTGGAGGGATTCCCGGCCTCCTTTTGCTCTATATATAATGAAGCATGCTATTTGCTTAAAAAAAAGAAAAATAAAGAAATACCCTGAAAGAAAGCCAAAGTAAAGATAGTCACGAAAGGGATACATGGGATCTATTCTGCTCCATGTTGCTTGCTATAGAGGTAGAGCTGTTTAATTCTTGGAATGGCTCATAATTCTTGGAATGGCTCATCTCAAGTGTCCTTCACTGTCTGCAATAGAGGTAAAGCTGCATCGGTTCCGGATCTACTCATCTGGGTGGAACAGGGGTGTCGTGGTGAAAATCTACAACACACACATGAGTGTTGTTGGGGATGGGTCCTGAACCCCGGCAAAGATCTTGAAGTACCATAAACTGGGATTTGAAACCATAAGCTGCAAGCAATGTAAGACAACCCCATGAACCATACGCAAGGCAATAATCAGCACCCACAAGCAGTGAGTGCTAAGATTGCTCAACAAGATTTTGTCAGACAATTCCCCTCATGCGAGGCACAAGGCCTCGACGTGCCCTACTGGGCCCTGTTTTCAACAATGTCGGCCGCCCTAAGTGAACGCAGGCCCGGCCAAGGACAAGAGGCCTATTTTTGGCTACCACGCAACTGGGGGAAATTCGGGCATGTGCGCAGCGCCAGTTGGTTGAGAGTGCCCAGGCCCTGGCTGCCTTCTTCATATGTAACTGACGCAGGCCCTGGGCCAGATACGCAACATGGGCCGAACACAGGCTGCGGGCAGTTGAACATGGGTAACCACTCTAGGCCCTGGGCCTGATTCCCTGGACTGGGGCTCAGCCACTTGGGGCCTACCGGAAGCTTCTGGTCAGGGGCCCAGCTCAGCCAGGCCGCACGCAGCGGGCAGGCCACTTCCATATAGGAAAGTGCCTGCCCCCTCATTTGGAAGGCGGGCACTTGCTACATGCTGCGCAAGCGCTGCTGCGCTACTGGCAGGCAAGCGCCCACGCGCTCACGGGCGAGCAAGGGATACGCAGGCAGCCATAGCCGAGCTGGCCTGCGAGGTGTTGGATGGGGCGATGGTGGTCCTTGGGTGCACGTGGCATCTGTGTGGGGGATCGAGGTTGTGAGTGATGAGAGAGACATACCTGGTGCTTGAGGCGAACGATATTCGCCGAGATCTGCTCGTACTTCGGGGAGCTGTTGACGTCACCAGCGGCATTGTAGATAGGCTAGATAGGACCTGCCATTTGTAGTCTGGGCGCAGAGCGCCAGATAGGAAATCGACATTGGTTCTTTGTTGATGAAGATGAGACTATTCCAACATTGTCACTTGTGAGCTTTTGCTGTGCTCTTATTTGGTGCAACTCGAGTTGCAATTCTGCTTTTGGTTCGAGGTCACGACTATCTTGTTTCATGCGGATGATGCTACTTGGTTTCTGGAATTCGCTATCGCTCATTTTCCTTGCACTCACCATTGCAAAAAATCTCCTCGTTTCTGATTCTCCATTATTCCCAGCCAAAAAAACCCTATCCAGACTCTTTTAAAAAAAAAACTATCCGGACTCTTTGAAGAAAAAAAAACTATCCAGACTCTTAAAAAAAAAAAAAAAAAAACATAAAAGAACCCCCCTTCTATTCTGGGGGCCACCAATCTGGCTGCTTATCACAAGCAAGGCTTAGCAAGCAGAAATAATACAATATTACAAATGGTAAAAGGGTATGACATCAAGGCCCAACTATGTCCTCATGGGAAGCGGGAGACTACCCAAATACCCACCTCTCTCTCTCTCTCTCTCTCTCTCTCTCTCTCTCTCTCTCTCTCTCTCTCTCTCTCTCTCTCTCT